GATATCGGCATTCCCTTGGAGCCAATTGGCGTAAGGAGATAGAGCTGTCAACAAAGTCATTCCCCCATCCTTGATGTCAGCATCGATTCTAACTTCTCCTGCATCTAAAATGTTCCAGTTTAAACCTTTGAGACCCTCAGCTAGTTGGCTATCCCATCCCTCTTCACTTCTATCTCTTGATGTTTTCTTCTCACTGTCATCCTTTCCTTTTACCCAGCTAGGGACTGTCAAGGCACCATTACTATAAGTTTCTCCATCTCCTCCCTGAGAAATACTATTCTGAGAAAAATTAACAGGAACACTTCCTTGTACATGCACATGGCCATTCTGGACAAATGGCTCAAATTTGGAGTTGAAAAGAAAACGGCTGTTTGATGTAAGGGAGGCAACAACTTCAGCGCGTCCTAGGTCAACCCCCCCAATTGCGCCATCCAACAGTCTCACTTGTACATCACATTCTGGTTTTTCAAGATTTCCTCTAAGATCCCCTTCCATGTGCAAAATGCCCTTAATCGGTGACAAGAGTTGCCGCAAAGAATGAACAAGATCAGTAGCTGATGATTCAACAACCTGTACCAAAGTAGGCACCAAACTGATGGGAAAATTCAGAACAGCGAAATGAAGATTGGTTTTTGGCCCCAACAATGTTCCATCTGCATGGATTGTGGCATTTCCCTTTTGGATAAATATCTGCTCAAGCCGCAAACCATCGTCGTTGCTATATGACCCAGTCGCCAACACATGCTGTGTATTGTAAGCCCCCCACTCCCAATCATCTCCATGAAAGTCAAATTCTGCCTGATATTGATACGAAAAGGAAATTCAGATCGACCGCATAATTAGAAATTCTAGCACATGTGTAATCCTGTTGTATCATTGAATGAAGTGTTTCCAGAAAGATACAGCACTTGTGCAGCATTGAACTAAAAAGATTTATATACCAAGGTGTCTCCATTGCCTCCACCACGAGCATCCAATGAACCATGCCAACGGCCTTTGAGTTCGGCTAAACCTGGGAGACTGAGATCTTCAAGTACAATTTCGCTAGGTGGAGCATAATCCCCACGAATCTCCTACGTTGTAAAGAACCATCAGAATAAAAGTTGGAAAAAAAGTATGCGGTTCATGTTATACAATGGATCTGCATCCTACGTAAAGAAAGTCCATTCGTTATTTCTTAAATGAAAGAAGGTTTCCATATTAGGTACATTACCTCAAGTAAGTCCTGGAGATTCTCAGCATGTAGACGCAGATTCTGCAAACTTTGAATAAAAAGATCCTGCCATCCCAGCCAGGAAAACCACATAATCAGTGGCATTTAGCTTAAAGAGGATAAGAGATATGAACATCTTTGGAGTAACGAACACGAGAATGCAAAGCACAGAGGGGTAAGAAGTGAAATTATTTTCCCACTATGACTACTCAAGATATTAGCATGTCATTTGTTGAAAATATATTTCAAGCTGACCTTTGATCTAGAGCGAACAGCTGGATCAGTACTTCTTGAAAGAAGCCTCGCAAGGGGCAGCATCTCAGCGACCTCCGCTTTAGGAACTTCAAGTCTTACTCTCCATCTTCCCATGGAAGATATAACACTACCAAGATGGCCAGTCATGGCCCTCTTAAAGAAGCTGTTACTGTCCTTCTGTCCAAGGTTTCGATCACGGGAACCAGGCAGTACATATTCCCCTTGAAGCTCATAGCGGCTATTGCTTTGTTGTAGAACACTTTTCTCAACAGTGATCTTGACGAAAGGAAAAGGATCAGAAGAAATATCGTATTCATATTCTCATATTGCACATTGTTGGTCAAAATGAGTACCACAGATTTTTTGTTCTAATATACCAAAAAAGAAGAAAAAACTGGTAACCCATTTTATTAGGGCTTAAAAAAGAAGCATCAATAGTCACCAACAACACCAAAAACTCAAATAAGACAGGACAGAAAGAAACCAAAAGTTCAGTTCCAAGCATAGCAAGCAAAAACAGACCAAAAGGCAATCCCATTGAATTTTAGTTTCTAGCTTCTTTCGATTCATCTTTTAGTATTAATCCCTGAAGTCAAGCCAGGAGGTAGTTTTGGACAGTGAGGGAGAGTGGGAGGCTAGCAGTGTTCAGTCTAGATCTGGTGGCAAATGATGTACGACGAAATGGTGAATAGACCAACAATCGATTGCTCCAAGAATTATCAGACAATTAAACCAAATAAACTGGACTATGAACCGTTATCATACATACCACATCACCGCTCCATCTTACTCCGACATCTAGAGCTTCTCCAAGAACTCCACTGAATTTTGGTCGAATTACAGACAACAAACCATGACCCCTTCGCTTCAGAAGATTAAGCTGAATCTCCGCCTGCAGGTTCACCAGAATGTAACTTTACTATTATAAAATTTAACAGAATAAAGTATCAGCTTCTGAAAAATCTGGTTATCATAATTTAGTTGTAGTCTAATATTGCAGCATTTAGAAGTAACAAACGCCCAATTAAGAGTACACTACTTCATAAGTTTTCCAGATACACCACGGAGACAAATTATTCTTCTGCACCGTGGTTTTGCACTCTTGAAACAGGTGGCATACAGGCTAAATTTACTTTCCTCTTTCAAATGGCTAATATGTTTCCAAGCCTCAATCACCTGAAACACGTCATCTACATGTTCCTTTCCCAGTTCCCCATAAAAAAGTGAAGCAAAAAACAGTTTGTCGAAATTCTGAATTAGCTGGTCCCAACATGTTTCTCTCAAATTTAGGCAGACAATGCCATATGCGGCTAGATAATTTCCTCAAGAGAGCACTTGAATCTGTAAACATTGTGAAGTTCAGAAGCTCAAGGCCTCTTCAAGAGTGTTGTGTGGAACTTTAGCAAGAGGAGCTGTTCTGGCAACGAGATGTTGTCTTATGGATACACTAGTAAGTGACACGAATGTCAGTTAGCTTTACTCTTTTGAACCTTCAATCCGCACTATTTCACAATGCATTTCAAGAATATTCTTACCCTTTGAATTATTCCTCTCAGTGAAGCCAATTCCAGCTCATCAAGTGGTAAGTGGCGTATCTGCAACCAGATATCGTGAAGGAAATGCCACTCAATCACCTAGTGGCAGTAAAAGGTGGCCTTTATCATATAGAAATACATAATCACAGAAAAGATAATACCTCCAAAGTAGCAGACTGTAGTGGTTGATAACAAGCATTTGCTCTTAGTTGTCCCTTCTGAAAGGACAGAAACAGTAATTTTCCACTTGGTATACTTTCTTCAGGGTTTGGCTGCAGTGGTCCAACAAACTCCAGCGCAAGACTTTCATCTGGCCTACCCATTGCATCAAGCTAGATATACAAGCAATAATAGAACAATATTACCATAATGAGCAAAAGTAATGGTTGTGAACCACTTCACTGATACATGTATGAGAGCCATTGAAAGACCTATGGTCAAAACCGAGACCAGTTCTCATATTCGTCCAGGATCCAAACGAAATGAAGAGGATCCAAACGAAATGAAGAGAACAGTAAAAAAGATCGAGTTCAAAAGTTAGAAATTTCTGCTTCTGCCTACTTTTTTCGAACTCCAAATATTGAAAGAGACGAATATCTATCCTTGTATTTACCGTCTTTGTTTTATAGGAGAAACGTGAATCAGTACCATACCTTTACATGGTCACGTGAAATGCTTAACAGCCCAGCCAGTTGAGGAGCTAAAACTAACTGATTCAGCTTGAGACCTGAGATTGAAATTTCACCAACAAGACTTGCTACTGCTCCTGCATCTGCGAACTTCTCAGACTCAACCTCTTCTTCAGTTGTAGTGTTTTGCCCTTTAACCTTTCCCTGAAATTTGATCCTTCCTGTTGCTTTTAAATGTGTAGGCCTTGGTGAATCAAATGTATATGAAGTAACCATTCTAAAAAACTCAAAACCACGCATACATAAATCCAGTTCAAGTCCCTCGATGACAAACGGAATGGATCTCCTTCGAGAGAAATCTTCTTCAGGAAGCAACTCATGATCATTGTACGAGGTATCAAGTTTTGTGTATAAATCAAATGCAACTGACGATGAATTCACAGTGATATAATCATGTGATATCACAATATCACCCCGAGCATCAGTAAAGGACCCATCAGCTTTTGGTGCAACCCATTTTATATCAAATCTCCTGCAGCCAACATTGAGATGCAATCTGATAAATTCCACAGACAAACATAGACCGGCAAGAAACAGAATTGACTGTATAATACTGCAATATTGTTCAAAAGGAAGGTTAATAAAGCTTACGGTTTAAAGAGAGCCCCAGAGAGTTTTGTCTCCCCAGTTAAATCACCTAATTTTAGTGGCTCTAGATGAAGATATCCAGGCATATAACGCTGCAAAACCTTGTCAACAGATATATTTCCAGAAAAGTTTACATCTAGTGCAGTATCGTCCTCCTCCCCCTGTAAAAGGCATGATCTATCGTTTCAGCAAAAAAAAAAACATAAAGAAGCATTATACACATATCAGCCATTTGCGACATACAATTGCTAACTAGGAATTAAGAAACTAAGACATCAACTAATTTGAGATATTACAAATGTTTCCTTGTAAACTTAAGAACAACATATGAGAAGATAGAAACCAACAAAAGTATCAAGATTAAACTTAATCTCATGGATTTCAGTATCCAGACACGACAGCAACACGGCCAGGTGATGCCAGGCCTGCCTTTGTGAAGTGCAATCACTTCAGTTATTGAACATACATGAATTGAGCATGATGTCAGGCCTACATATGAGTAGAGAAAGCTGAAAACTATGACACAACTGTCAGCCAGAACAGCTCCTATTGCCTAATACAGATTTTCTTTCCATCATCTAACTAGATGTAAAACATGTTGCATCATATACCTGATGCAGAATACAAAAACCATGGCATCATTTTCAGTGATTAATTATTTATGTGCATGATTGACGGGGCTGATGCATTCAACACGTAAATGCCATGAGATGATTCTGACACAAAATCAGCTGGAAAAGATCAACAGCGTACATCTGCAGCGTTGAGGACACCACAGTAGTAGGCAACTCAAACAGTGAACAAACATATATTGGTCAAATGGTCTACCATCATTAGTCTAGAGGAGATGAGGTTTCTTCATTTTACTGCTCAAATTTGGGTTTTTGGCCACCCTAACCCCCCACACCACTTCTCAACCCCAAACCCAGGTACACCAAAGGTGCAAAGTGAATGGTTTTAGGAATATTTGCAGAAAGATCATTAGAAGGGATACAAACAACTTACCTCTGGACAGATCCAAGCGTTCCCTGCTCCACGAATCTCCCCACCATCAACAAGGGTGGCTCTAATTCCATATAAATCAGCGACCTGCCACATTAAGCATACTATTTTGAACTTACTTGAAAAGAACAGCCATCCATTACTTGAGGAAGCCAAGGGAACATAAAAAGAAAATACTTACACAATTATCAGTGTTAAATGTGAAATTAGCAGAAAGATAGGAAAACGGAACACGGTCAAATGCTGCAACTGCACCACCTTCCTTATTTTTCAGCATTTCTTCATATGCCACAGATGCAGGGAGATCTGGAGATAGATGATTGATTTTCCTAGAGACCATGCCACTTCCTACAAACACTGGAGCATCAAGGGGGCCTTGACAGTTGAACACAGCTGTAACAGAACCAGCCACCTGCGGCCCAAAATGATAGACCAGCTAAGATAACTATCTAGCAATCACCATGGAATACTCAGTTGAATAAAGCTACACCAACAATACCGGGAAGACTAAGGGCTTCATCTTGAAGGTTTTCATTAAGGCATTGACTTCCACGTAAGGTACCTGAAACAAACTAGGGACACTCAGCAACTCATATGAGACAAGCCAGAAACAGACAATTCAAGTACCAGATAAGGAAAACTACTCCATAGCTAGACATCGACCCACATGGAGAAATTTCCTCCTAGTCTTTAACTGGTATTCAGATACTACGGTCAGGGGATCAAGAAAGAAAGACAGCCACCTAGAATCATGGCTCACATAGAAAATTTTACCTGACACATTAGATGAAACTCTCCATCATCAGGATGAATACCAAAATCTCCGGAAGCCTCCAGAGGAACCTTTCCAAACCAGCCACTTGCATTGTGTAGGAAAATACGCTGGCCGCGGAAACACAAGCTGGCTGAAACATCCTGAAAAAATAAAACAAGACAACATTATGAGCAATAGCTTTAGTTGTGACTTGTGAACTCTACCTTGAGTTGGCATTCTGTATCTACAGCTAAAAGATAATCCAGGTCTAATCATTAATCTAATCATTAAATCGGACTAACAATGAGAAAGCAGCAGAAAACATCTAGAGAGCAAATGTCATATAAATCCAGAAAGAGACATCTATCCTCAAAATCAAGTGAACACACAGGCCAAGAAAATTTGAAAGCTAAGTTAATACTACCTGCATCAGAAATAGTTTTCCTTTCCATCAAACTAACTAGCTCCAGAGTATCAAATTTTTTATTAGGTTTGTTGCAGCAATACAATCAACAAACATAGTCAGAGTGGAGCTTGTTCTCATAAAATGTGCAATATCATCATTTATGACTTAGTAAAAACAGTTCCCAATTGATTGATAAGGATGCTGTTTAGACATAACATCGCAGTTCATAGTCTACATATGCCACACATATACTATCAACATCGAAATGCACAAAAGGTTCCAACAAAAAAAAAAATCAAATACAACCATAGAATTCATATGAATAGGCTAACAAATGGAAATTCGGATTTACTAATGAATGAAAACATAGTATTATGACAGGAGAATGCATATCCGGGAAAGATGCACATTCAAAACTTACAGAAAAAGAAGAAGGTGCATCATATAAATGGAAGCCCAACTCGGTGACATCAAGCTGGCCATGTAGGTTGGGAAATGTTTCTCCACTAGACATACACAAATGGACCTGTAATCAGGTAGACAAAGATAGAAAGCCCAAGCGCTCAATTACATACTAATCAGAACACAGGCTAATCAATGTGGAACATAAAAAGAACACTCTAATTGAGGGTCTTCTTGAAAGTGGATGTAAAGATGTGTGACAATCCATTATCTATCCGGACAGAATGGCTTGGTATTCTCTAGCCAAATTAGCGAAGCGAAGTATAGACCAACTGATTCAGATGTTATAACAGAAATCAGTCTAGATAAAGATAAAATTACTAAAAGCGATCAATTATGCTCAACTTAAAGAACACAATGGATGTTAGAAAAGCACCTCACCAGTAGCTCTTCCCTTTGACCATTCAATTGGGATCTCTAGAATTCTTTCAAAGTTCTGCAGAGTTGAGGGAAAAGTAATACAAAGAGGAGATATAGACAGATTAATCGCATAATAATTGACGACAGACTTAGAAAAATTCTGTTTCCCTTGACACCTTACCGGAACAAAGAACTTGGCAACCTTTAAGTTTGCGTGCCAGTTCTGCTCCACGGTATCAACAAAAACATCAACAGACAAGCAGCCACCGTCTTCAGATACTTCATCTGATCTCCACATGCTACAATTTCCCCCAAGCTGCACGTACACGCGGCCATAGTGATTCTGAAACTTAACATGCCCATCAACATTCCTCATCTCTCTACAAGAAATGTTATTTACTAAAATCAGTCACTTAACATGAGACCATTATTTAACTCAGCTCAAACGAAGCAAAGATACACTAAAAGCCATACTGATCTCAAGAGGCACTATAGGGTTTATTATAACTGTCACATACAAAAGCTAACGATATAAACTTTCTACAATATTTGAAGCTTGACAAATTAGAGAGCAGTAGAAAATGCCAAATAAATATCTTATATTTACATTAAATAACTAGGACAGATGTCCCTGACCTGGGCTCCCTGTCACCGTATGCTAGAAGAATAAATGTCCCACCCTTAAAGTGAACAGAGTCGAGCATGACTGGTAGTGCCTTCTCAATGCATAAAGCAGGCACCTCATTTTGCTCGACGAAAAATTTAGGAACATCATCTTCAACTTCAGGATACACCCCTTCTTTCAACTTTTCAGATGAGCTGGCAATAATATTAGGCACCAATTCCTTCACTTCCTTTAATGGTCGAGTAGGACCTTCATGATGCACTTCAACCCGATACCCACTTTGGCTGCCATGTGTAACATCATCCGCATTGTCATTCACATGATCAGACAATGTATCATTTTTTATATCTTCAACATGTGAAACATTTTCCTTAGGTTTTATAAGCGCAGAGAGTCTATCAACAGTCACTACGAAGGGATCACGTGATAGAATGCACTTGTCTGAATATGTAGTATCTTTTACAGCGAGACACCCCGATACTGCTCGATGATCTTCCCTATCCAAATCATCACCAGGTAATTGTTCGCCAGATGGCATAGGGACAACATATTGATTAATGTTTTCTCTTTCACTTTTGATTAACAGCATATCCACACCCAAGTCATCATAATCTTCAAACGACATTGAAGAATCATCAGGCTTCTGCTGCGATAAGATCTGGAAATAAGAGACAGCTGCTGAAGCGCTACGATCAAGAATTCGCCTTTTCACACCAACATTGGATGTGGATCCATTCTTTGATTTTGAATTCCACTTAAATTTGTGCTTTCGAGGGCCTTTTATCATTTTAGATAAGAACTTAAGACCTGCACCAGGGATCTTTATGCCAAACGATCTCTCCAATTCAGCATGCTTGATATCATAATCAACTCCTCTGTCCATGCAATGATGATCTGTTGAATGCATTTTTTCATCCATGCACATAAAGGACTTGGAATTTGCTATTTCAGTAAACTGTCTATCCTGCTTCAAGCCATCATCTTTAGATTTTGAAGTACTTTCTCCGGGAACAATATAGCCCATCCCTGCAGCCTTTCCTGCAGCATTGTCCCTATCGTTCGCCCAACAGGCTGCTGCTTCCTCCCTGGCAACTCTTCGAGTTTTAGTACGAAAGTCAATTCCTTCTTCAGAGGACAAATGCCTTTGTGGACCGTCTTCAGAGAAAGGTATCCCTAACCATGTAAAATCCTTCTTTTGTGCAACCAAGACAGTCGGATTGTTTAGAACGGCATCAACCACAATCTTTCCCCTCCTTAGACTAGCAAAAGGTCTGACGCGGAGCTTCATGGTTGGAACTTCACCACATGAGAATTCTTCACCATGAGGTCCGATGGAGCATGCTTCAAGTGTAATGCTCAATGGTGAAACTCTTCTCACCTTTCCAAAGTCAAGCTGACGCTCGATACGCTCACTGATTATAGAACAAACTGATGGCAAAAGCTTCGTCTCGACAAAACCCCGTGCCTTGTTCTGCCCGTACCACATAAGTAAGTAAACCCCAGATAAGACACATGTGAAAACAGAACACCTCACAAAAAACAAGCCCTCTTCCCAGACCAGAGATAAAGACTTCACAAAGGCCCTGCTTCGTACAATAGGCTCCTTCAGACATTTTACCTCCAATCTGTTTCTAGCCCCAATGGATTTTCTCAGTAGCGCTACATTTTCCCCAAAAAATTGTGAAAACCTTAATACTTGAGCTACCCAATCATTCTTCTTCTCCAAGGAGATACGCTTCCGGAAACCCCTTTTTGCACCCTTCCCTCTGTCTCCAAAAACATTATTCCGATTGTTTCTAGCAATTAAAGACTCGTGAAGAGGAGTACCAAGAAATGAGCTCTGCAATCTCAGGCTCATTGTCTTCCCTCATGCGCCACAAATGTTGGAGCTCCTACTCATCTGCTGGGGACCAAGGAACACGGCTCTTAGCCCCGAAAGCTTCAATATTTCAGGCAACCCACCATCAAAATCTCTAGAAAACACAATAATTACTTCAGTTTCCATTAGAAACAAGGGAGAGACAAGAAAACATAGCGGACCAGAAATTTTCAGAGACACAAAAAAAAAGCTCCGAAGAAACCAGAAATTCACATGGAAGAGCATTAAAATCAAAATACTGAAGAAATTTTCAAATAACAATACATTTTCCTGACGAAATCGTTCCATTTCAACTAGTTGAATCATCGAGAAAGAAGTAGAACACCACTGAAACGCCGAACCTCACAGGCTCAAGGAAGTAAAACCCTAGAAACGTCGGTTCAATCTCTGCATCATCCGCTTTGTGAATTTTTTTCTTTTTTGCTTTGGTACTTTTATATTCTATTGGACTTTCGCCGAGAAGAAATGCGAGTCGGGGAAAGATTGCTTGCTGAAATTGCCTTTCTTTAAAAAAAATGGTTCCATCTCCAAAAGATTGTTGGACAGAAATGTCACTGCAAAAGACCAGAAATTACAAACAATACCCCTAGAAATACACACATTGAATTGAACCATTTTTTGTGCCATTTGGGTCAAACATCTCAAAATCGATATTATAGAAATTGGGGGTCATGTTTCATGGTACATCCAAATGCAATACTCTTTCTCTTAATATTTCGTGTATATATATATATATATATTATTTCTGTTTCATATATTTATTTATTATCCTTACGTCATATCTACACTTAATTTAGATATATCTAAATTATTTTTTATACTAAGGTGACGACTGTAATTTCAAATTTAACAAGACAAAATACTCAATTTCCCAATTTGGATACATTTTTTGTCATCTTCAATCTTTTTCTGTTCATTTATGTCCAAATATTCAAATATATTTATGAAATCGAAGTGAAATAATTCAAAATTACAATTGGCCGGTATTCTATACTACATTGTATATATTAGGGGTATCAATTGGATCAGTCCGAATCTGCATTCGGTCCCAGAGGTTCGGGCTCGAACTTAGACCGACCCATTTTTTTTTCCTATATAATCAAACCTGAAACACGACCTTATAAATTTTAGGTTCGACTTAGGTCGGATCAGTCCACTCAAAATCTTTTGTAAATTTATTTTTTTATTTTTTTATTAAAATTTTAAATATATATATATATGTATATATACACCAAGCTTTCGGACCAATCTGAATCGGACTCTAAGTCTAATTTAAACCCAGCCCGGAGCCCATTTTTTTTAGCTGAAAATCTTACGTCCAAAGCCCGTTATTTTACGGGTTGGGATGGATTGAGCCTGAATTGACACCCGTATATATGCACAACAAACCAAACCAAATCAAACATCAATAAGTCCGGTTTTTTGTTTCTATCATAAAAAACCGATGGAAGAAATTGATAAATACAACTTTGTGTTTAGGTTCATTGTATTTAGACTATAGTTGTGGAGTTTGGGACGTTGGTTAGTTAATAGTTAGTAGTTAGCTTCTACCTGTGTTAGCTATAAATACAAGATTAGAAGGAGGAGAAAAATTTAATTAGAAATTTGGAAAAAAAATTAGGTTTCGGTTAAGAGTGAAACCTCTAGTTAGACAAGTCTCTAGAGTTTGTTCCTTGGTTTGATGAGCAATAAAGTGTATGCTTCTCTATTCTATCAAAGTTTGCAAGAAAGTTCGATCAAAGTTTGCAAGAAAGTTCGATAAGAAATGAGAGAAAATCCTATAAGCCTCTTGAGTCTTAAAGTTATTCCCTTCCAATACATAGATCCAGGTATGTTTTCTGATCTATGTTATTTTCAGACCAACATGCCATATCCAGCTGGAGCTAGACCAGAGGGTGTTTCACCCCACCTCCACCAGGACCTTCAGGGTTTCCAACTCTTGTGGTTGTGGACTATCTGCCTTTGATACGCGAAGTTCGGATGATGGGTACACCGAGGTTCGAGGGGACTCAGAGGCCCGAGGTTGCAGAGGATTGGTTGATCCGCATCTCGAGGGATTTGGATTATGTCATATGTCCACTACAGTACCAGACAGAGATCGCGAGCCACCATTTGTTTGGAGAAGCCCTTCACTAGTGGGAGGAAGTGGTTCGCGGATGTACTGTTGTATGGGCTTTATTTATTATGATACATTTGATGTATTGACACTTACTATGGTTTTATGATTGAGTGTTTGATTCATTACATGTTTTGCATACTATAATATGTTATGAAATCCATGTATTGTTATGAACAATATTAAACTCCCTAGTCATATGTCATTGTGGGAACAATGATGTACTAAGACTAGTATGATGTGTGATAGATGATCATAGAGATGATCATGGGTATTGGATACGATCATAATCATAGGTATTCGTTGGAGAACGGAATACTGGATTGACCTGCATGAAATTGTCATATGGACTGGTGTCATGACTTGAATCTCATGTGACGGTTCCATGATTGGATCCTATGACCTGCGATATCTACGGAATCCAACATGAGGAGTTGCGTACTTTGAATACGTCAAACGTCTTGCGTAATAGGAGGACTATAAAGGCGTGTATCAGGTATGACATGAATCATGTGTTGGATTGTAGATAGTCAAGATGGGATTTGTACCTCTCGTAAAAGAGAGAGATATCGCTGGGCCCCTCGTGTGAGCGAGACTGTAGAAATGTGTGACCACACTATAGATGAACGTCGTCTATTTCGTACAGTCGAACTCAGTGAACGAGAAAGCAGCCAAATTAGATAAGGTGGCTTTTACATGCCTTATGTTCGTCATATGATATCGTGATACAAAAGGATCATTAACCACACCCTTCCGTCTTGGTTTTTCCGTCGTTTTCTCGCACGTTTCGTCCTTCCCTGCGTGTGTGTGACCCTGTAGGCTCATTCGATATAGCACTATAGCCCGAAATCTCTATTCCGGATATACAAGTCATAGGCGGTCTCTAGCAAGACACTATGACTACCTATCTCGAATAGAGTTTGTTCATGATCATACGAACGCCAGTGATGATTCCGGTGTTGGGATCCCTTCGGGTTCCTAGCATGCGATCTCATCGATCTAGGGTTTGGATTCTAGGTTTCACGCAGCGGAAGGAAAGATCTAAACCTAGCCAAACGTCACACAAAACCAATTGTGCAATAACCCGAACAATCGTGTATATCGTCGTGGGATTCGAATACTTACCTCGTTCTTTCAAGATCTGGAAGTATCAATCGATCCAGGGCCTGTTTTAATCACCAAGAGTTGAAAGCACAACCCCTCTACATGTATCCACACCGACGGGAAGGATTCCAAACGCTTTTGGAACTGATTTGCTAGGATCTGTGAAGTGAATAGGGTTTCCAAGACTTGGGATCGAATCCCGGGAACTAGA